TGGGGCGTAGGTGTGAGTGGGGCGTAGGTGTGAGTGGGGCGTAGGTGCGAGTGGAAAGAAGAGTGATCACTCCAGCCACACCTACACCCACACCCACTTTTTTTACGAGTAAGTATGAAAGGGAGAAACAGCGGATTTTTATTTATCATATTCCATTGAATACTGATGTGTATATCGAAATCAAAAGAAAATATGATCACTGAAGAGATTTCCGATGTTCAATTTCTTCATAATAGATAATCGACAGATAATATATAGATTCATTCGAATCTGCTTCGATACGAAAGGCCGATTTTCACCCTTTCCTCGTCAAGTTCGACACTCACTGTTATTACAAGAGAGTGAAGGTGAGTTGAGTTCTTCGATTTTAGCAGTCGAATACTTCCAAGAGTTTCTTTGGAATATATGCTTTTAAAAAGTGATTTGTTGACAGTAGCATTTCTTTAAAAAAATCTCCATCTATTCATGTTATAACTAAAAGAGCGAATTATCTAAAAGTTAAGCGATCTTTTCCCTTCATTTGAACTTATCTCAGTGATTTTCTAGTCTACAAATGAACAATGTTTTATCGTCGTCGTGGAGAGACGTACTTTTTCTTGGCAAGCTGAAAGCGTTGTTTGGTGAGAGAGTTGTTGACTTTCGTTCGTTGGCACATATGTCTAATAGTGAGAGAATGAATTTTTTTCTCTCTGCTGTCACCATCATTCCAGCTGGTGGATTTTCTTTTTATCCTGCGCAATAAGTGAAAACAGTCACTTGTCTGAATGGAAGTTAGTGACGTAAATTCAAACAAATTCACTTTCATCAGTTTCACTTGCGTTAAACGGTAAAATGCATTCATTTTACTCCGGCACGATCGCAAATGAAGGGTCCTGCAATACAGAAAAAAAAGTTTTTTTTCGTTCTGTCAAACGCAATTCCGATGAATGCACAAAGAGAAATTCGATGTTTTGCTCACCCCAGCGTAAAGAACAGAGTCGGAAGAAGCATTTTGTGCTCTATCATTGTGATTTGATTGTGTTTTTTTTCCCAACCAACCGATCAATTGCTAAACAAATACCACAGTGACACAATTGTTTTACAATATTCAATATGCGATACGATCTTGTCATTATGTTGTGTCTCTCCTCATTCGTTCGAATTGCTCATGTGCAAGCACGTAGTTTACATGGCTCTGCAATGTTGAAAAATAGAAATGAGTTTCAATTGATTTGGTTGTATGATGCTCTGGATCAATCGAATAGCACTCGTTTTAGTCAAGAATCTGTGTATGCATACGATTCAACTATTCAATTTTTTACTGATGTATACCAGTGCTTCGAGAGGATCGATGAGATGGACAATCGAGAAGTATTTTTGATCGTCTCTTACTCGCTTCAATCAAATGTTCTCTGGCGAACTAGTTCACGGCTGAACATCGTTGCTGTTTTCATTTTCTCGGATACGTCTTCGATCGGCTATATTTCATCCGAGGAGCGCAAGATTGTGATTGGTACGTATAGTGATGAAAAGAGCTTATTGAATGCGATCTATCAAAATATGAAACTTGTCGACAGACAGTTGTCAACATTAAAATTATTCAAGCAGGAACACAATATGATTCGATCTGTATCGAAGGATTCGACGTTACTTTTCAAGCTTCGAATTCTAATCGGCCTCTTGAAAAGAATTCCTCAGGATAGTCGAGCGAAACAAGATCTGATTGATACTTGGACTGGCTACTCTCGAAACAACGCTCGTGAATTGAAAACTATCAAAAACTTTCATTCAAGTTATCAGCGAAGAACTGCCATTTACTGGTATACATCGGAGAGTTTCCTCTATCGACTTGTCAATGAAGCGTTTCGTACTGAAGACATTGAATTGATCTATTCGTTTCGTTTGATCATTATTGATTTGTGTATTGAAATCGAACAGCGATATAGAAGTATGGGAAATAACAGCACATTGATACTCTATCGTGGACAACAGATATCGGACAAAGTGTTTGACGATTTGCAAGCAAATATTGGTTCAATTATTGTCATCAATGGTTTTCTGTCCACAACGCGAACTATTGACAGGGCATATTGGTTTATTCGAAAGAGAAGAAAATCGGCACAGCAACGCCCAGTGCTCTTCAAAATTCGAATCAATTCAACTTTAAAAACCGTTCCATTCGCTGACATTAATGACTTGAGTAAGATGGACGATGAAGACGAAGTTTTATTCAGTCCGAATCCGTCTTTCGTAATAGAATCTGTCCAATTTTCTGCAAAATCCGACGTTTGGATCGTCGAATTGACTGGTATCGATAACGGAATGGAAATTGTAGACGATTACATAAAAACATCTCAAGAACAGATAGAGAGTTTTAGTTTGCCGATCGTTTTCGGTCGAACACTTTTACATGAATTGAGGCAAATCGATAAAGCAGTATGGTATTTCAGCATGCTGCTTGAAACTCTTCCTAGCAATCATACCGATATTGCCGAAGTGCATCGCCACGTTGGCAATGTGTTCTATATGAAATATGACCAAATGAACGAGATTCGATGTCAACATGTACGTACGGAGGATGTCTACATGAGCAGTTCCTTGTTTGATGTCGGCAATATCTACAAGAATCAAGGCGATTCAATACGAGCACTGAATTATTATTATGAAGGGTTGCGAATTTTCTCGCAAAAATACTCCGGTGACCATTGGAGGAAAGCCTTTGTATTAACACAACTTGCTGAATTGTATGAAACGAGAGGTGAACAGAAAGTCGCCCTGGCACATCTGCTTGATGCATTGAATATGTACAAACGAACGCTACCTGCACAGCATATCGACGTCGCTCTTTGTCTCGGATCAATCGGCGCACTCTATGAGACTATCGGCGATCTGCAACTGGCCCTGAATTACTATCAACAACAGTTAGAAATCGAAGGGAATCTATTGCCAGACAATCATCCTATTTTCAATTATCATTTCGATGCACTTCTAAATATGTATACAAAAAAGCACGATCTGAATAGTCTAATAAAATTTTATCGCAATTTTCTTTCCAAATTGACCACGTCCCATCGGCGTAGAATTCAGATACAAATGTGCATGGCAAACCTGCTTAAAAATAGGAATAATCACGAGGCACTTGAGTTGTACAACACAGCGCTAAACAATTTGGAACAATTGAGCCTATCCAACAATTCAGCAAAGATCGAATGCATCGACAACCTCGTGCAATTATATTGGCAGAATCGATCTTTCGATCGTGCACTAGAATATGCTTTCAAAGGATTTAATCTACAGTCCGGCATGTCATCGATCGATCAAACCGATATCGCTAAAAGATCGTTAAGCATCGGTCGACTTTATGTAGATTTGAATGATTCCACTCTAGCCTTGAAATATTTGACGAAAAGTATCTCCGTTTTTCAAACAAATTTCGAATCCAACTACGAGATTGTACGGCAAATCGCAATTGACATAGCACGCATTGTTCCCATGCTCAAGAAGACTAGAGGAGACTCAGAAAGAGAAATGCATAATTTTTCTTTTCATATCAAATAAAAGGGGACATAGCAACTCAATATAGGCAAGGAACTAAAACGATAACAGGTATCGACGAATGAGGGTGTGAGTGTGGATGTCCGTCTTGGTAAAGAGAAGAGAAAAGCCCACACTCACACTCAATTAAAGTCTTTTAAGAGTAGGTGATCGTCTGAAATAACCAAACTGATTTTGAAAAGTTCGATACTCATATAGATTTCAAAGCCAGAGACAAATTTGTAACACGGCAAGGTCTTAACATATGGTCGAATTGATCATACAATTTTCGAGTTTATTTTTCTTTTACAACACAAAAATATCAACTAATATACCATTTTTCTATTATAGTTATTGCTTCATGGTCAAATTCTTGGCAATACTAATTACACGCGTTGGTATTCGACGAATATCACTAAAGAAGGCACTTACTTCAATTTGGGCTCGATTACATATGGTCAAAGTGAAGGTGTATTGATTCCAGTTTCTTCTAAATCTACCAGTAGAGGTAAATTCACTCTGACTTATCCCACGGAAAAAATTTTCAAATAAAACCGCGGTGAACAGCGGTGTCAATAAACCGCGAAAGTCAGACCATTTATTCGCTTTTTAGAAACCGGTCAAAACCGCGGTGCAGAAATACCGCAGTGTGGTCGGACATAACTGCGGTTAAAGTGAAAGAAAATTAGCTCACACCGCGGTTTTCTATATGCTCATCGCGGTATTCCTGCACCGCGGCTTTGACCGGTTTCTAAAAAGCGAATAAATGACCTGACTTTCGCGGTTTATTGAAACCGCGGTTTTATTCAAAAATTTTTTCCGT